CTCTGAAGAATAAATTCTTCATTTTCCTATACTCAAAAAAATTCAGGAACAAAAGCCACAGATGTTAAAATCATAGCATTATGAAGATACCCATTGATATATGGTAGATTTAGATTACTTTTTAACTTCAAACGTCCAAGTAAAAATTTAATAAAACAAGGAATCCATCAATGCCCCACAGACTTGCCCTCTTTGATGTAGTAGGTGTGTGCCTGAAAGATGGGTGAAAAACAACGCGCATCAATACAATCCTATTTCAGATGCACGAGATCACCGCTATTTAAAGTAACCTTCGGGTGATACCATTTATCAAGAAAAGTCTGCTTCATTATAAGCAGAATATTTTCATATTACCATATATCTTTCGTTCTTGTATAGACAATACTTGTATTCATAAAACATAAGCACACAACAGCAAAACAAAACTGAATCCTTAACACAAGATTGGATCTAAAATACAAATGTAACATGCAAAATTATCTTTTCAAAACAAGTTTATCTATCTTCATTCCTATCAAATAATGTATTTTCAGTGAGACGTTAGGGATACAGAATCGAGAACTACTCCACTAGAAATCTGTGCCTATCTCTTTGACAGCTATTGTTTTAAGATATTTTAATTAAAGGAATGTATGGGTGTAGATGATGGCTCTCTCCTACCCCTATTCTTCATTTTGAACAACTGGGGACTCTTAGAGAAAAGTCTGGACAGTACAGCTTCTTCCCTGACACCTTCTGTGAGTTGTTTCCAGCTTCCACTTCCTTCCCTTGAAAAGTCTTGTACATTATCTGAGAACATCCCCCCGAAATGAGTATTCTATCTGGGAACCAGTCTAGCACGTGCTACTCAGGGCTGCTAGACCAAGGAGCTGGGTCTCCAGGATGTCACATGCATGTGATTCCCAGGGATGGAGCACCTCTCAGTGACGGTGCTGACCTTCCTGCCTTCTCTTCTCTTGGCCCCATCATCTTGAATAAAACATGGAAGCTACACTTGACTGCACAGGACTGTTAGCCCCACTCACTCAATAAGCAGGTTTCCCCTAATGCATCCTGGACAAGACTCACCTCCCACAAACAGCACCCAAACACATATTTAAAATGATCCATATGGTTGCTCCTAGAGGCATTATCTAAATAAAAGGACAAGTGTGTCATTTGGGGCCTGAGAGACAATACAGCCCGATGGTTAAGCATGCGGATTCTAAGACCAGATGGCCTGGGATAAAATCGGTTTTGGCTCTTGAAAACCTATGAGCTCTGACCCCTTACTTCACCTCTATAGGCTCACTTTTCCCCATCTGCAAGAACAAAGTAGCACCCAACACCCACATCAGCAGGTTGTTGTGAGAACCAGATGAATTAACATTTGTCAAATGCTCGAGACACTGTCTGACACACAGCAGGTGCTGAAACAACAAGGGCTTATGACGTCCCTAGGCCTCGAAGTCTGCTTGGAAATGAACTTGCCCATGTGCAGAGACACCAGGAATAGTCACAAATCAAGTCACAGGGAGGGAGACGGATGTACTTCCTTCTATCCAAGGTGTGGAAGTTGCATTTGGCCCCTGTTAATAAACTGGAACCTTATATCAATGTATCTTCCAACTGGGAAAGAATATGACTTTTTGAGGGACAAAAAAGATGCTTAATTTAGTACAAATTGTTGATTAAAACTTAGAAAAATACAATACAATAAAATATTCAGGGAACATAGGGAAAGGAGAAAGATTCAAAAGATAGGATGAGATACATTTTTATATCCGTCCTCCCAAAAGTTAGCCTTCAGAAACATGAAATGCAGTAGTTTGACCATTGTTATTTAAAAAAAAGCCAAAATTTAATTTCTTACAAATAATTCAAAGGTATGCAAGTGTCAGCGCCTGGGAGATAACTTCCTTCTCTGAGTGTTGAGAACATTGTCACACATAGCTCTGCTGGGACAGTAACCACTGTTCATGTTTATCCACCCCTTCCAAGTAGACACCATGTGGACCCTGATCTTAGAAAGCTGCTTTTAACTGTGTCTTCAACAAGATATGCTAAGTTCAAACACACCTACACAGGCATCCTTGGAAAATGTATGGTTTGCTCCCATAAAGTCTGAAAATTAACAGTCAGAATATAATAGCTTCCTACAAAGTACATACTTTGAGTTTTTGGGAACTAGACACAAGAACTTGAAGTTAACAGACTATTTTATGTTTTCTCACAAGTGAAAGGAAGAATAGATGGTTTCTTCAGTTCTATCTTAATTGTGGGGTAGTGGCACCACTGCCCGTACTTCTAGGGGTTCATTTCTTT